CCCCAAAACCCCAAAACCCCAAAACCCCAAAACCCCAAATGGAGATGAAGATATTGAAATTTCAAGAAAATTCTTAAGAAAGCTGAGATTATATATAATTAACATCCTTCACTAGATGCCTCATTATAAGCGTCCTTGAGAATTTTCTGAAAGAGATCAGCATTAAAATTAATGAGGTGATCAAAATCTCTTCAGATCTATCTTCCCAATATTTTGTTAGGCTTCATTTCTCAAGTTCTTGAGTGGAGCTCAAAAGTAGAGTTAAAGATTTAGGTGAATAATACTTTAGCCTCTTGTCTATTCTCACTCTTTACTAATAAAATTCAAGTTGATATTATATTACTCTCTCTGCCTTCCAAAATGCTTAATCTAAACTAGTCTCGTCTAAAAATATGAGAGAACTCTTCTGAAAATAGAGCTGTCTATTTTATTTCAAAATTTTGGTTAAGCTTTCATAATGTCTAGCAAAAGTAAGGTTTACTACTTCATAACTTCGAAGACTTGGGTGAAATATCATTCATAATCCTTTTAATGAGAGCAAACCCAAATATTTTAATAAAAATTATTCTTGTATTATATGAATTCTCTCCTATTGGCTCTAAAAATTGCTGAATTTTGCTGAATCCGACAAAATGGTTAAGCAGCGATATTAAAGAACAATTGAAAAATGTGTGTATATCTATAAGAAAGAACTATATAGGATCCTCTATGTAAATCTTTCAAACCTCCCATCATGGTGAAATTGTCATTTCCTAGTAACTAAACCTGGATGATATTCTAGAACATTTTACTGTTATCCAATATGGCATTTTGAGCCAACCTGCAGGCTCTAAGACAAAAGTCTAGTGGTAAAGTTAAGCATTCGAAAATTATTTACTTTGGGTGAAAAAGGAGGTCCCTGGATACCCAGAATGTATCCATTCTGTGTTTTTTTATTAATAAGTTGACAATCTTTTACTTTATTTCTTAAAGAACAAGTGACGATTTAAGAAGCTATTAATTACTTTAAAAGAGGCCTCCTTTTGGCCATGAACTGATAGATCTTTTAAAATTACTTTCTTAGGCTCTTTGCGATAGAGAACAACTTATTCAAACTCTCAAGTTTAAGATAAATAGCTTATGTCGGTTACAACAGGCTTCACATGCATATATTAAGGAGGAAATTTTTAAATCGTTCCCTGTAAAATTTGAGTATAGTAATATGGAAGACTATTAAAAGTAAAAATTCTTCGTGTCTTTTCCACTGGCTAGAACAAGACAACTGGCATAGTCCGAAAGTCTCTCAAGATTGACGCTTCAGGTTAAATATTTAAAGATTAAAAATTAAATAATAAATAAACATGAAGATGTTTTGCACTTCTTATCTATCAAATATGCCTTTTGTCCCACAATGGGATTACCAGGAGTTGCTGATCGAGTTTCAAACAATCTATTGCATCTGCCCACCATCAATTGAGAGCATTACAAATCATAAGTGCTATGAATTACCTCTTGAAATAAAGCGAGAGAAATCTACACCCTCAAGTTTGATTACTGACACCAGGTAAGCACTTTGGTATTTTTTTAATCTATGTCCTTGATTACGCTAGCTTTGATCTGATTAAAGTATCCCTTTAGGTCTGAAAGTTCAGTACGAGAAAAGGAGTCTCACCCAGAATTGAAGAACTTGGTATTCAAAATCACTAGAGCAAAGCCAAGTAATGGAGCTCATAACATTCTTAAGAGATGCAAAGAAAGTAACCAGGCCAAGGTACTACAAAAGAGGAAAAGTAGAGCACCAAAGCTCGAGATTAGACAAAGACTCATCAGACTCAGACAACGTATCTTGGAGAAGAACATCTCTGGGTTCACGGCTTCAGTAAAGAGAACTAGATATACTACTAACAAGTACCTTGGAAGGAGGTCTAAGTACATTGGAATTTCGAAGAATAACACTAACTGGCAAGCCCTCATCAATGTGAACCATGCTAAGAAGTACATTGGCACTTTCTTACATGAACTCGATGCTGCAAGGACCTATGACTTGTACTCAGTAGCTATGCAGGGGGAGAAAGGACTGCTAAACTTCAGCTACACAGACTCAGAAATGGTGGAGATGATCTCATACTTCCTTGACCATGGCTCTGTAAACCCACAACATAACTTATCTATTTAAATTGCATTTAATGAGTCTTAGGGTAATAAATTATGAAGTTTGGATGCCTATTTTGAGTTCTAAAAGACCATATTATCAACCTATTGTCTTTCAATTATTTTAAAGCTTTGTGGGGTTTTGGGGTTTTGGGGTTTTGGGGTTTTGGGG